ACCCACTAAAGCCATGCTCTAGTAACTCGCCTCCAACTGGACCCTACCTTCTGACACTCATCTATGAAAAGCAATTAATCCAAGGGGGAATATAGCACACCCATGATCTAATCACCACTCTAGGAGCCTTTTAATCCAGTAAAATTGAGAATTAAGGCTAAGTGTCACAGGTTCCATCCATTTTCCTGTAAATGACATCATCTCATTCTTTATGGCTAAGTAATATTTCATTTTCTATACATACCATGTTTTCTTTATTCATTTACCTGTGGACAGGTATCTAAGCTATTTCCACAGTTTAGCTACTGTGACTTGTGCTGCTGTAAACATAAGTATTCATATATTACTGTAATATACTACTTTAATTCTTTCAAAAATATATCCAGAAATCTTATATAGCTGGATCAAATGATATTTCTGTTTTTGTTTTGATGAATATCCATACCGATTGCCATAGTTGTTGTACTAGTTTACATTTCCACCAGCATTGTAGGAAGAGTCCCTTTTCCTTGCATCCTTGCCAGCATTCAGTGTGTGTATGTGTGTGTGTGTGTGTGTGTGTGTGTGTGTGTAGTTTTGATTGGAATTCACCTAATTTCTGCTGAACTATTTTTTGTGTACTTATTGCCCATTTGCACTTCTTTGAAACCTGTGTATTCAGCTCATCTGTTCATTTTTTATTGGATTATTTGGTGGGAGTTAATTTTTTTTTTTAAGTTTGTATGTTCTAGGTACTACTCTGCCTAAAAAGAATCACTAACAAAGATTTACCTCCATTCTGTTGGTCATCTCTTCAGTCTTTGGTTGTTTCCTTTGATGTGCAGAAGCTTTTTAATTTGATGTAGTCGCATTTGTTGATTCTTGATATTTACTGTGTTATTGGCGTTCTATTCAATATGTCTTTGTTTGGGCCTATATCTTCAAGTGTTTCCCCTATGTTATCTTTCAACAATTGAAAAGTTTCTGTTTTTATATTTCTATCCATTTATCCATGGACCATGATTTATTGATTCATTTTTTACTTTTTTTAGTACACAGATACAAATCTCATTGCAACCGTCTGCATGTGAATATAATTTTCCCAGTACCATTTCTGAAAGAGGCTGTCTTCTCTTCAGCATGTGATTTTGGTCCTTTTTCAAATATCAGATGATTTCATGTGCATGGGTTTGCTTCTATGTCTTCTCTACTACATGTCTAGTTTTGTGCCACTACTGTGTTGTTTTTATTACTATAGCTTTAGAGTATAACTTGATATCAAATATTGTGATGTTTCCAGCATTTCCCTTTTTACTATGGATTATTTTGGACATTCTGGGTTTTTGTGCTTCTATATGAATTTTAGAATTTTTCTAGTTTCTGTGAAGAATGATACTGGTATCTTAATAGGGATCATATGAAATCTGTAGATTGCTTTTGGTAATATAACCAATATTAATATTGGTTATTAATATTAACATTTATTGGTTATTAATATTAATATTTCACAATATTAATTCCTCCTGTCTATGAACAAAGGAAATCTTTACACTTTCTAATGTCTTCAATTTTCTCTTCAGTATTCCACAGTTTTCACTGTACAGGTCTTTTACCTGTTTGGTCAGGTTGATTTCTAAGCATTTTTTAAGCTGTTGTAAATGGATGTAAGTGCTTGTATTGGTGTCTTTCTGTCCTTTTATGACAATTAGCTTTTGTTTTTTTAACTGAGTGTGCCAACATTCAGCGCATATATTTAAAACTGTTATTTCTTATTAGTAAATTTTCCCATTTACCAATGTGTAGTTACCTTATTTGTCTCTTCTGACCAGTTTCTGTTTGAAAGCACTTTATTAGACATCAGAATAGCTGCTCCTGTTTTCTTTGGGAATGCCACTGCTTGTTTATTATTTTCCAACATTACACTTTCAGTCTGTGTGCGTCTTTGTGCCTTTTATGGGTAACATATAATTGAATTTTTTTTTAAATCTAATCTACCAATCAACATCTTTTCATTGGAAAGTTAAAACCATTACACTGAGTGTTATGATAGAAAGGTATGTACTCATTCCTGACATTATAGTGTGTCTTAGTCTTAGTTACTTTTCTCTTGTTGCTGAGACAAAATACCTGATGACCAAATTAAAAAGGGAAAGTTTTATTTAGCTCATAGTTTATAGAGGTTTCAGTCCATAATCAGCTGGATCCAAGGCACAGTAGTATGGCATAGGGGCAACACTTCAAGGTGGCAGAAGACAGCAAAAGCAACAACAGCAAAAAAGGGTGGTGGAAGCAGGTCTCTTTTCCTCCCATATATTGTATGCAGGTTACCTGCTCTCGAGTGGGTGTAGCACTCACACCATCTTTGTGCTCTCCCCTTGTACAGGCTCAGGATGTTTACAAAGTGAGGACCCTGGCTGCATACTGAGTCCCTTAGTTAAACTTCTAAACTTCTCAAATTGACACAATGAACTACATCCTAGAGCGGTAAGGGCATGTCCGCTATACCCTAGGGTGTAGAACTGCTGAGTTACTTAGTCAAGCTTCTAGACTTCTCAAGTTGACACACTGTATCAACCATTACATAGTGCTTTCCCAGTACTTGATATCTTTGTTCCTTTTGTTCCTTGCCTTGCTTTTTCATGATTCTTGTGGGTTTGTGTTGCAGTTACAGATAAGTTTGTATAGAAAGGTCTAAAATCACTGTGGAGAGCTCCTTACTAAATGGTTTCTTCCTATGATGTGCCCTTGCTCTGAGGTATGATTCAGCAGTCAGGAACCCAATAAACCTACTCAAAATACTCAGTTCAATTTCAAGCATTGCACTGTGAGGAGAGAACAAGTATCAGTAATATCAACATCCACAAAAAACAAATCATATATCTTGTTCTAAATACATATGAGAGAGTAGGGTGGATTTGAGTGTCTCAGATGATCCAAACTATCACTCTGGTGAATGTCACTATTTCCCCTCCTGTCCTTGTACTCTTTGATATGAGATTCAACTTCCTGCCAAACAATTCTTCCTCTAGAGAGTTAAGGGACTTTCTGTATGAAGTTCTTGCTATGATTCGTCTCATGTTGTCACTGGCCACTTAAGTGCCTATGAATTGCTGCTCTCTCCCCAGAAAACATGGGTGGTATGGTAAAAAGGAACAGGCTTCACTGAAAGCTAGTTTCAAAGACATGGCAGGAACTCACACTGTGACAAATCACCATCTCTCTATGTCCAGGTTTGAAAGGGTGTTTTAGTAAAGGAGGCAAGAGAGTATACAATGAATGAGATAATAGAAAACTCCAGGCCTCCTTTGTCTCTCAGTCATTTTCTGCTCTCTCCCTCCCTGGTGGAAAAGAAACTTGAGTCTGACCTCCCAGAGCCAGGATCTGCATATTTTGTCCATTTATCCAGGCTGTGGAGAAGAGGGTTGACAGTTTACACCCTCGACCTGAAGAAGTCTGGAGAAGTTGCTTGTCTCTGGAGGGAAAAACTTTAACTTTTAAAGTTGTATTTTGCCCTGTTACCATGTTGTTAGTCCTTGTCATATCACCTAGGCCTAATACTTTGTAGGGCGAGGGCAGATTCAAGCCAACTTCTCTATAGCTTTTAGGATGTTTGTACAGCTTAGGTTTTCTATCCATCCTTAAGAAAGTTGGGGTATTTTGTGGCCAACGCTTCTATGTTGTCAAGTAGTTTTGCACAGAATTAACCCTAACAAACACTTTTAAATTTTCCCCTTCTGTGCTTTGAAGATCTTATTTTTGCATTCTCATAATAACTTTGCACACTTCAGTCCTTTAGTCGTTGTTTTTTTGTTTTTTGTTCACTGTTCTAGGATGACTTTTTCCTTCCATTATTAAGATGCTTTATCTAGGATATATTCATTTTCCACCTTTGTTTGCTTTTTCAAGTCATTGATTTCTGCTTTCATCTTTATCAACATCTTCATTTTCTGTGGTGATTTTTTTCAATTGTAATTAAATTCTGTTCTGATAAGAGCCTTGTAGTCTCTTGCTATTTTTGGTTTATATCTCTTTTTTTTTTTTTTTTTTTGCTTTTTTTCATATCTTGAACCCTTTATCTGCATCTTTGGCATACTAGGTTGGACAAAGGTTTTGTCCTTTGATCCATAAATAAAATCAGTGTTATCAGATTCTCTCTTCTACTAGGGAGCTTGAAATGCAGCAGTTCCTGCTATTTTCTGGAATGAAAGTTGGGAGGAGGAGAGAGATTAGCAGACACTGAAGGCTATTTTCACTCAGGATATTTTCAACCTACTCCCTAAGGGTATCTGCTAGAGGGAACTAATTACTGCCCTTGGGACAAAGTGATAATCTCGGTAGATGAGACTTACTACTCTAATGTCGTATTTGATGACTTATCGTTTTCCTGTGTTCTTTCCACTGAAAATGTGACTAGTTTTTCTCTTGCCCCTCCTAAAGATCATTTCCTGTGGATGCTTGAGATTATAGGATAAAATGATTGAAAAAGTATTTTCAATCCTTCTTCACTCCAGAAACCCTGGTCTGTGCCGCTCTGAAAGCATATAGGTAGAGATGCTCTCTGCCTCTGTGGTCCGCCTGGATCACAGTCTGCAACAGTACAACCTTTTATTTGTGATTCAGCATTTAAATTATGCCACCAGGGAAGGAGCTTCACATGGAAGACAATGAGAACTAGATCACCCACCAGTAAATTGTATACCCTGCTGTTAGACTCTTTCTTCTTCTGGACTATGTTTCTTCTGGTAACGCAGAAAATTCTGTGTGATAATCTCTAAGTGTTGATAAAGATTTGCAAGTGCCTGTAGCTGTAGGAAAAGGCCTCAGACATTGTGTCCCTGTATATAGTCCCTGGGACATTGGCATTGCCCCACACTGAGCAAGGGGAAAGAAGTCTGCATTTACAGATAAGGAAGAAAGGGAAGTACCTTTTCTAACTTCAGCCACACCCATGGCACACCCAATCTAGGAAGATATAAATGAGGGCCTCTACACAGCGCCCAGGCAAGGCCCTTCCTGGCAAGATGAAGTCTACCGTCTTCCTCATCCTTTCCCTGCTCCTCATTCGGGTGAAGCAAGCATCTGGAAAGAAACTCCTCGGTGAGTGGAGAAGGGACAGTTGGGGGAAAAACACAGAGGTAAAATGTCCTATAAGGGCATTCTGGGTATGAGCAGAGAGATAGTCCTGCAGAGTTTCTTCTCCCAGAAGACAGTGAGTCTTCTCCACCCGCAACCACATTCCATGTGGATCTTCAGGGAGTTCATAAGGAAGCAATGCTTATTATCAACTACCAGGAGAAGGAGCAAGGCCAGTTACCAAATGGATCATACTAGTTACCAAATTAGACAACAAAACCGACACTGTTCAGGACAAAGAGCCAAACAATAAGCTGAACTCAAAGCAGATTTAGATCTAAATCAAAGAGCAAGTAGATGACAATTACCATGATTAGGAATAAAGATAAAACCAATATTATTGGCATTCACAACATGAAATGACAAATCAAACTGTTACCAGCTAGCCTGAGTCTTTGGCTTCATGAAAGATGGAAAAGAGTAAAAGATGAGTTCTAAAATGAAAATAAAATGTAAGTTTATTATAGGGAAGAGACATAAAAGGAACCCTCCAGGCAGCCCCAAGAAAAAGACAGCTAACCTGGCTACTGTACAGACACAGCAGGCCCTTACAAAGTATACATTTATCTGTCATAGGGTTTCAAAAGAATGTCATTTAAAAAGCAATGTCATTAGTTATCCATTTTTCTAAGGAAGGGACAGAGGTCTTCAGATAGGGCAGAGTTTCAGTTATTGCGCAGGCATATGTTTGCTCATGGCCCAAAGAGTGCTGAGAAATGTATTATATCCCCTCTGTAGGTGAATGTCTTACTACAAAAATGCATTACGAAGTATAATGTAATTCAGGATTAGCTCTGGATCAGATCTGTTGATTATACCAATCTCATCCAGTTTACCCATGCATTCCACTTCTCCATCTCAAGGAATACACTGATTTGCTCATTTAAATACCTGATTTATTTTCCTGCTCTTATCACCTAAAGTAGCAGCTGCCTGCCCATTTTATCTCAGGTTGCTAAATCAAAGTTTTGCCAATTCCCCTTGTCTCATGACCAAAATCCGGGTAGAAATCAAGAACAATTCATTCAAAGACATCAAGATAGGCATCAGAAGACAATTTGGATACAGCATGTAGATGACAGTGATTATAACTGGGTGCAAAACGCTGATCAAGATCAAAGGCCTAGCCAATATGTGGTTGAATGTCACACAAGTATCTAAATAGAGCACAAGGGCAAGTGTAGTGTAGAAAAGGTAAAGTGTATACAAGCTAGATCACAAGGCACTTTTCCTTTCTGAACAGAACAGCAAGTGGGTGACAAGGACCAAAACCCTACTCCAAATTCTATTTATATTAACTCAGGTCCAAACTTACAAACACAAAATACAAGAGAATATTGAAGTTAAAACCAAATGACTGTATTGTGGACAGCAAGACAGGCCAGAAAATGGACCCCAAGGCAGTTTTCTATCCAAACTGAATAGCTAGTACATAACAAGGATCAAAACCGAAACAAAATTCTAATTAAGCCCAAGGACATGACTATCATGCAAATGGAATGTAAGACCAGTACTGAAGTATACAGAGGGAAAAAAATTCCACTCAATTATGGACAAAAGAGAAGCAGAAGGATAAATCTTAGGGTGGTTTTTCTAACCAAAGCAGCTGATATGTGACAAGAATCAAAGATAGGTGATAATAAATGAAGGGAATTGAAAGAAGACAGAGTGACATCAGAGAGTCATATATCATTCTTTGTACAGATGAGTATCAGGGAGTGAAGTTTTACAAAATCCAATGAGTTAGTTTAATTTTACCTTTATATTCAATAGTCTTTGGGAAGGGAGGTGCTGAGTATTGAGCCCAGAGCATTGTGCATACTAAGTACATCTCTACCACTGGATTACACTCCAGCCTGAATATTTTTAAGTGGAAAAGAAAAGAATAATGAATCAATTTTTAAAATGAGTAAAGGAAACGTAAGTGTCCTCTAAAATATGAAAAAAATTAAAAATGTATGCCAAAGTAATGTCAATTAGAAGCTTCTGTGTGGTATCATTTCTCACAGATCTATATAAGATCAATAAGAATTTAAAAATCAGACACACAATCTGTATACAAGGCTATACAGAAGCAGGCAGTTTCATTCACCACTGGTGAGCATACCATATAGTGCAAGCTCTATTAAGGAAAATAGGACAATATTGCTAAAATTTTACATGCATTTAACCTTCGTACTAACAAGTCTATTTCTAGGCATGTAACCTACAAGAAAGGCTACATGTGTTATAAGGTACAATAGCAAAAGATTAGAAACAACCTATGAGTACAGCAGCAGTGGGTTATAAAGAGCCAATGTAATCCATAAATGATATACGCTGCAGCTTTAAAATACACACACACATACAAACACACACAAACTCACCAAGTCTATGAACTAAAATGCTACCAGTAACCGATAATTTACAACAATCCTCCAATCCAAGAACTTCCCTCCCAGCCAACCATAAATTTTCCTCCCTCACTTCCAGAACTAATAACAATTTCTTCTTCACAATTTCATCTTTTTTGTGCACCCAGCTTTGAGTTTCATTCCATATATACATATATATTTTCAAATTTTCCTTGGTTTTTCAGCTTTTTTCCTAGTTTTGAGCTTTTGAGGAGTGAGAATGAAACCCAAGGACACTCTATTACTGAGCTATATCCCCAGCCACTTTTTTCTCTTGAGATAAAATCTCACTAAGTTGCCCAGGCTAGCCTCAAACATCTGATTTTTTTGCCTCAGCTTCCCAAGAAGCAGAAATTACAGGTGTGCAATATTATGGTCACCTGATTTTGAGCTTTAACAAACATGTAATTCTAAATAGTATCTTTTGGGTCTGGCATTTTTATTCAGCATTATTTTAATTGTAGTTATGTGCTCGGCTGTACTTCAAATACTTTCACAAATTTTATAACATTTCATTCTAGTACTAGGTGATGACATACTGCATTTGTCTATTATCTCATCACTAATAATATCTTACCACCAATAATATCACGGAGCACATTGCTTTTGGTAATATAAATTGGTACATTAACATTGGAGAGTTGTTTCCCATATGTATAAGTTAATCATATGTATACCCCACAATCTATGTTCCATTGTCCAGCAAATTCATTATTAGCTAAATAAGAAATACAAAAAATGTTCACAGCAAAATATTCACAATAGTCAAAAACTAGATCTACCCAGTGTATATCAACAGTAAAGTGGATATAAACATTTTGGTATTTTCATAGGATAAAATAATATGCAGCAGTCACCATATATGAACAGCAGGACTAGACTTCAAAAGGTAGATTTCAAAACAAAATGTTGAGCAAAATAAGTACAGTATATTAAAATGGCATTGTTTCATTTATGCAAAATTTAAATATGCAAATTTTAACACATAGTTCAAATGCAGGCAGAAATGGTACACCTATAAAGGGGAGGAATTTCAAATTAACATAAAATCCAGGAAGATGTTATCATGGAGGAGGAGAAAGAATAAAGCAATTGGTGAGGACTGGGACATAGAGACTAACAATTCTTGTTGACCTATTTATTTTACTGTTATTCTTTAAATAATATAGGTATTTTCTAAACTCATTTTTGTTTGAATAATTTATTCAGCAATAGCTGGGATATAGCTCAGTGGCACAAGCACCTGCCTGGCAAGCATAAGGTCCTGAGTTCAATTCCTGGCACCAAAAAAAAAAAAAGCAATAATTTTAAAAGCATACACCAACCAACATTCTGACATTGCTTATATTTCCCTTCCAGTTTCAACCTTGGTGGACATGTGGTCTGAGCCCAGTGAGAAAAGGGGTGGGTTTCAACCCAGAGTTCATTATCCAATAATCAGTCTGCTTTCTTCTTTGCCTCACCCCAATCTCTACTCAGGGACTCCCAGATATCAGGTCTGACTGCCCTTGAAAACACCCTGCTTACGTGTATTCATTTTTATTCCTCTGAACTCTTGATAGCAAAGATAGATACCAAGTCAGATTAACTTAGACAGAAGGCCAATTTCTTCACTTATAACCAAACTGTAGGAACAGCTGCTCCCAAGATTGAGGAGCAGGAAGGCCTGGCTGATGACTTTAGAATTTCTCTCACCATCTTCTTCATCTCTCAGTAGCTGATGTTTATTTTACTTGGACAGTAGAAACCACAGCTGAATCAATAGCTTCTGGAAGCGCAAGCTCATCTATGCCACCTTTGCCCAAAGGAGGCATTTCTTCCTTATCTTTACTACCCATTCAAATAAATTGATTCACAAGTCCTGTCCTGAATCAATCTCTCTCTCTTTCTCTCTCTCTCTCTCCCTCCCTCTCCCTCTCTCTCTCTCTCTCTCTCTCTCTCTCTCTCTCTCTCACACACACACACACACACACACACACACACAAAACCTGTGCACCTGTGCATACAAGCCAGCTAGGAGCCAGGCTTTCATTGTTAATGGTACTTGTGAGACTTAGAAGTTGACTTTATGAAAGGGAAGGAGGGAAGGAGGGAAGGAGGGAAGGAGAGAAGGAAGAAGGAGAGAAGGAAGAAGGAGGGAAGGAGGGAAGGAGGGAAGGGAGGATAGAAGGAAGGGAGGAAGGAAGGAAGGAAGAAAAAGAGAAAGAGAAAGAAAAAGAAAGTTCTTCAGAAGAAGCAAAGTGCTGTTGAATAAAGGAAGAAGGCAAGCTAAACCTGCATACACTGCTATACCAGCTTTAGATAATTTGTGTTTTCATCCCTTTAAATGCTGGAGTCCTCTCTGTTAGTCTACTGTGATTTTGAAGCAGGAGACTTCACGGGATCCCCACAATACCAACAGGACACAGAGTTTTAGGAACAAAGAGAAGTTTATTTACTGGCATCTCTCCAGGGGACTGGTGTCCTCCTGAGAGCAGAGAACAAAGCCCTGTTTCCACTTTTATATTGTTTCTATCCTATGGGGCAATTTTTCATAGGAATCAGCAAAAAGCAAAGTTACAGAGGTGTAAACAGTGATTAAAAGAAATGAACAGTGATCAAGGGGCAGTGAGTACAGACAGGCCTTTCTGAGTCTGCTGTGCTCCACTTGTCAGTATCTCATAGCTGTACCTGTGGCTGGGGTCATAACCATCAATTTCCTCAGGGAGCCTAGCTGAATAGTTTCCCCAGGGAGCTTGGCTTCACAGTTAACCCATAGTTGTCCATTTTTGCTGCAAGGAGATGGTCTCCTCTCTCGGTTTCTAGGGTATCATCTCACTCCAGGTCTAGAATTCCACCTTCCAATTACTTTCATGGTGCCTCACAAAGATCACCTACAAAATATCAAAGTATAGTAATCAGTCTTTAGATTTGCAAGGCATATTTGCCTTACACAGGTTTTTCTCAGGTATAGGGAAGAATGATGGAAAAGTCCAGCCTTATGCTAAGAAGGTAAAATAATAGGATAGGTCTAGAAGGGGTTAGTAAAAGTAGGGCACAATTGGGGAGCATCCTAAGTGTGAAATCAAGATTGGAAGTACTAGTGACTTACTACATAACCACAGGTGATTCCTCTATCTTCTCTGGGTCTGTCTTAAAATATGAAGAATGTGGTTATGACAGTGGATAAGGGCCAGCCAGCACTGCTTGTAATTGAGAAAGTGGGACAGATTTGGGGGCTATCAGAAGTGATGTAACATAATGCCTATCACTTCTTCCTGTGAATAATTTTTGGGAAAGCCCCAACATACTTCCCAGAAGTTGGTGGCTATTTCCTGGGAGAGCCAAGGAAATGTCTTCTCCCACATAAAATCACAAACTTGTGCCTGGTGCCAGAACTCCTCAGGCTGCATAAAGCAAAGCTTGGCCTCAGCTCTTAGCCAAACATCTTCCTGACAATGTGGGCACCAGTCACCTGATGTAGCTATATTTCTCATCTTTGAGATGCTGGCAGCAGAGGCAGCTGCCATAGGAGCCGAGTGAAAAGGAGACATGGAGGAGCTGAGATGAGATAAAGAGACACTCTCAACAGCCTCCTATGCTCAAAGAGACAGCAACTCTAAAGTAGGAGGCATGGCTGGAGCCCAAGCTTCAGCCTTGTGGCCATCTCCTTCATGTCCAGAGAAAGTAGGGCAAAGGACCCCACACACATTTTTCAACCAGAGATTGAGATCTGAGGACTGCTTGTACAAGTCATACTTTTATGTGGCCTTGGCATCAGGGATCATTATCAGTGTTGAACAGACAACAATATAATGAGTTCCAGGACTCACTCTGGGCCCTGTCTGCCTGTCCCATTAAAGCACTTAAGTAATTGCCCTATATAAGCAGGTTAAGAACCAACAAGGGCCTCAGAAACAATGCAGATTGAGGACCATTTGTTCATAAGGAGGAAACCAAGACAGAGAGAGGAGTGAGGAATTGCCAGTCAATTGCTAGAACTAGGATGGAGCTCAAGTCTCCTGGCATATGGCTCAGGGCTCTTTCTTCCTCCTCAGAATCTCCTCAGAAATGATATAGTGTCCTTCTCATTTCTGGATATCAACCCAGTCTGAGAAGAGCTCCTGAGAAACAGAAAATGGAAGGCAGAGAAAGAAACACACACATGGAATGGTGATCTGATAGCCCCAATCACCAAAGAGAAGGGACCAATCTTTCAGGAGCACAGATGCAAGCTATCCCCAGAGTACCTCCCCCACTTCTGGGCAGAGTTTGGGGCATTCTGCAGGGAACAGAGTGCTTGGACCTATGGGAAAAACATGGTAGTGAAACAAGCATAATGGGTCTAAATATGGGTATATTTTTTCTTTAACAGTTGCTGTTAAAGGACAAGAAGCTTCGCAAGGTCAAGTTTGGACCACAGGACAGGAGCCTGTGGAAGAAGAATTTGTAGTTCAACATAAAGATCCCATGATCGGTCACATTTGGGTCGATGGACAAGATTTCGTGGAAGAAGCAGTTTCACTTAAAGGTCTCAGTTCTGTGAAAGGTCGCATGCGAGTCAAAGGACAAGCTCTCATTGGAGAAGCGGTTTCCGTTAAAAGTCTCAGCCCTGTGAAAGGTCACATGAAGGTCAAAGGACAAACTCTCATGGGAAAAGCAGTTTCCATTAAAGGTCATGGTTCTTTGAAAAGTCGCATGCAGGTCAAAGGACAAGATCTCATGGGAGAAGAATTTTTAGTTCAAGGCACTGATCCAGTGATCAGTCACATTTGGGTCAATGGACAAGATTTTGTGGAAAAGCCAGTTTCAGTTAAACGTCTTGGTGTGGTAAAAGGCCAAGGTTACCTGAAAGGTCAGGGTTCTCTGAAAGGTCACCTACAGATCAGAGGACAAGATTCCATGGAAGAAGTAGTTTCAGTTAAAGCTCTCCAGCCTGTGAAAGGTCACATGCAGGTCAAAGGACAAGATCTCACAGGAGAACAATTTTTAGTTCAAGGTAAAGATCCAATGATCAGTCACATTTGGGTAGATGGACAAGATTTTGTGGAAGAAGCAGTTTTAGTTAAAGGCCTGAGTCCTGTGAAAGGTCACATGCAGGTCCAAGGACAAGATCTCTTGGGAGAAACAGTGCCAGTTAAAGGTGTAGGTGCTGTTAAAGGTTCTGGTTTTCTAAAACGTCGGGGTTCTCTGAAAGGTCAAGGCACCTTGAAAGGTCAAATGCAGGTCAAAGGACAAGATCTTACACGAGAAGAATTTTTAGTTCAAGGTAAAGAGCCAGTGGTTAGTCAGATTTGGGTTGGTAGACAAGATTTTGTGGAAAAGCCAGTTTCAGTTAAAGGCCTTCATCCTGTCAAAGGTCGAGGTTCTCTAAAAGGTCAAAGTTCTCTGAAAGGTCAAGGTTCTCTGAAAGGTCGGGGTTCTCTAAAAGGTCGAGGTTCTCTGAAAGGTCGGGGTTCTCTAAAAGGTC